GACTTGATTTTATATACTGTAACACCTGGTTCATTTTTTTTTTTTTACTTCTGCCTCATTTTAAAGATGTAATTGTGAACAGTAGTAATATTTGTAAATGTTTGTTTGCTAACATTTTGTTTAGCTTGTTTAGTTTTTTCTTAGTTCATTAAACAAAGTTTAAACTGAATTTTGCAGTTGTATTACAGATGTAATGTTTGTCAACTGGAGCTTTAAAGGTATAGTTCACCCATAAATGAAAATTTGCTGGTTATTTACTGACCCCTAGGCCATCCAAGATGTATAGGTGACTTTTTTTCTTCAAGCCTGTGTTTAGTCTGTATGAAAAATGTTATAAATGGAGATTGTTTTTAAATAAAGGCTATTATGTGTTGTAATGTGTGTGTTTTTAGTGAATGATAAACACCAGTTAATCACTTTTAATAATTGTATAAATAACTATAAAAATGTTTATGTAGTTCCCCAGCAATTTCTTATGATACCCAAATAATAAATCTTAGTTGAGGTAACATGTAAAACACATGGAGTAAATGGTTCAACTTTAATTGACATAACTTGCTGTAGTTTTCTAAATGTTTGACCAATTACAATTGGAATATAAAACTAGTTCAGTAAAGATTGAGCCAACTAAAAAATAGCAATTCAGATAACACTTTGAAGACAGAAATGGTCTGAATGTAAAATTTCTGTGGAACTAGTTACTAAATAATTAGTTGAAACAGCTTGAAATTTTTTACAGTGTAGGCTATTTTAAGTTCTTTCCGCAGGAAAAATAAATGACTGCACGGGCGCCCCCATGTCATACAGTAAGCGCGATAATACTCCCAGTCCCACACTCCTCATAAACACTTGAAATGCGCCTATATAGCCATTTTACCATAGTACAAAAAATAATAATAACCTGTTTTGGTCATATACTATTAAAGGCACAATATGTAATTTTCGCAGCTAGAGGGCGCGTAGTCAAAATAAACAAATAGACAAAGGCGTAGTTAGATGACGCTGTGACTGGGTGTGGAATCATGGGAGTTGTCGTCTTCATCCCCACAGCCGATGCAATCCGACAGGACTCGGGCAGAAATCATGTTCATGGATGAGCTAATGATTTATTAACGTAGTAGAATGAAGCAGGGTGAGGCTGAAAGCCGTCGAAGCGAAACGAGGCCGCTGAACGAGCGTGACACACGGCTTGAAAGCAGCGGAGCTTTTATTATGCCACAGTCGAGCGCTTCCGCTCCTTCCGGTCGTGCGTATGTGGGGTAAAGCAGCGCTGTTTTATCATACTAGATACATTTGAAAGTTCTGTTATAATGCTACTCTGTGCGGTCGTCACCTGTCTATTAAAACGCACAACATTTTAAAGCGTCTTTGGTCTTTTCTACAAAACAAAACCGGAAATCGAGGGGTTATGACGTCATTGCCAGGCGACACATGGATACAAAACAAAACCGGAAATCGAGGGGTTATGACGTCATTGCCAGACGACACATGGAAACTAGTTAAAATTGCTTATTTCTCTGGATATAAACATTCTTCGAAACATTAAGGATAATGTAAGTACACAAGTCAGCAAAATATATAACACTGTTCTATTGGTTTTTGGATATTTTAATAAAAATATCTTACATATTGTGCCTTTAACTGCCCGGCTCCCCCTGCGATCTAGCAGCCCCTCAGCAGAGAAGCACCTGCGTTCAAAATTCTCTGGCGCCGCCCCTGGAAATAGCCTATGATAATAAAGAAAAAACTAAGCTATAATAAGTGCATAATTATTTTAATAAAGAACATTAAGTCTCAAAATACATTTAAAATTTTCAGTTTTAACACAGCAGTTTCCTTCTGGCGGAGAAACAACCAACAAGCATGCCTTTATTTTACGTTTGTCGCCTCATCGTGTGTGTGTGTGTGTGTCTGTTTTTCTGTTCTGGTGGGGATTTAAACCTGAATACACACAGACTTATGGGGACTCGTGTCACGGTGGGGACCTAAATTGAGGTCCCCATGGGTAAACAAGCTAATACATCACACAGAATTAAGTTTTTTGAAAATCTAAAAATGCAGAACGTTTCCTGTGAGGGGTAGGTTTAGGGGTAGGGTTGGTGTAGGGCAATAGAATATACGGTCTGTACAGTATAAAAACCATTACGCCTATGGAGAGTCCCCACAAGGATAGTTGACCAGACATGTGTGTGTGTGTGTGTGTGTATGTGTGTGTATAATGAAAACATAAAGTATAAAAATTTTAACTAATTCAAAGTATTAATAAAAACTATAATAGTAATTTCACTGACACTAAAATACCATATTACTAAAATCGAATGCATACAGTACATACTAAAATGTGCTTCTCAGACGATCTTCAGCTATCAGATTAACATCATTATGCTTTGAATTAGTCCGTATTTGCTTAGCATGTCAAAGTGATCTTGTTTTAGACTCAGACGTCTGTTTACAGTGCAAAACTAGTACATACGACTTGAGTTGGGTAATAAATAAATCACCACAGCATAACTTTCATAATCTGGCAATAAATCATCTGAAATGTCATCATCAATCTGAGGTGTTATTGTCTATGTTCCCACTGATAACATCTGTACGGTTTCTTGCAATGGAAAAACGTTCTTTTGTTATTACAAAGACCACCAAAGGCTCACACAGAGCACAGTGTCTATATCCTGGATCGGCCCCTACAAGCCCCTCAGCAGACAATGGCTAATTCTGCTCTCAATCTGCTCATAAATGCTTGTGTGTGTGTGTGTGTGTGTGTGTGTGTGTGTGTGTGTGTGTGTGTGTGTGTGTGTGTGTGTGTGTGTGTGTGTCAGGTGGACTCCAATGCCCACAACTCTTCTCGTGATGACGCCGCGGCAGCGCACAACGCGTCTCACGCAACGCTCTGTGTTTTGGAGAAGAACGGAAGATGGCGACCTCAAACAATCCGCGAAAATTCAGCGAGAAAATCGCCCTGCACAACCAGAAGCAGGCGGAGGAGACGGCGGCGTTTGAAGAGGTCATGAAAGACCTGAGCATCACGCGAGCAGCGCGGGTACGTGTGTCAGAAACGGCGGCTAAACGCGCGCATAGCGCAGCTGCTATGTAGGATGCAGCCTGTGTTTGATTTAAGAGCTCTCTTGTCGCCTGAGAGCCGTGACAAATCGGTGAAGGACGGCAGTGATGTCCCGGTGGTTGAGCGTAACGGGAGATGCTGAGGATGCTGCTGGAGAGAGATGCTGGACAGATGTCATGCACATCTGCACAGAGACCTGCTCCGGCCTTGAATGCATTGTGATTGCTTTTCGCTCTTTTATTTCTCGTTCTCGTTGTGTGTATCAGAAGCTGCTTATTTAATGACGAAATGTCATTGACCGGGGCAAGTTGTCACACGATGTATACCCTAGTAACTATTTTAAATTTAAAATCTAAAGGTTTTGTATTTTGGTAAAGTCTGTCCAACTAGGATTTTCATGTTTTTGTGAAAGCTGTTGGGTATAACAAATACATGCAAAAACCAAATCCATTGAAAGCATGGAAAATATATAAGCCTATATTTATATATAAAACTAGGCGCCAACACTGAAAAAAAAAAAGTGTAGAAACAATTGTCATTTTGAAAATGCTTGTAAATTTCATAAACAATTACAAAAAAAAAGAGTAACACTGAATTATACATGGCATTTTGACATTTAAAAAAAATTATTTTCTGTATTTTCTTTAAAAAAACGTACTCGAATACTCTGTATTACAACTTTTTTTTGTAAAGGCAACTTTTTTTGTTTAATCTGAAGTACTATATAAACTAAAAATAAAAATGAATTAAAAATGTAAAACATTAAAAATAATAAAAACAACAATTATTTGAATTAAAATGAAAGTGAACACAGAAAATCTAAAAATAAAATCTAATTAATTCAATATATTAGCAAAGTCTATAATAGTATATCAGTGATACAAAAATAAGTCAATCAATTTCAATGTCAGGTCAGGGCAAATTGTCGCATTCGTTATAATTTGTCCAAAACAGTGTTTGGTTTTTTTGTATTCTACTTTTGTATTATTTGGTTTATGTTATTTATTAACGTACACATTTTGTTGAATGTGCTATTTTACTTTCAAGAGTATTTCATACAGAAAAAAAAGTGTCTCAAATCAGTGTCAACATATGTTAAGTGAGCTGTATCTTTTTCCTGGGGAAAAAACAACCAATCAATCAATAATAAAATATAGAATAATTAAAAAAATTAACTAACCCTTACTAATATTAATTTGAGGACAATGCTTGGGCAATTTGCTCCAGCCTCTGTTTTCACCTTTTTGCTACAAAGCTATTAGTTTGTCCCTTGGTGTTGAACGTATTCTATACGTTAGTGTGCGTCACATAAGTCGATACCCATGTTTTGCTACTTTTTATTAACTCTCACTGGTCTGCTTTTCTCATTCTTCACATGATAAAGTGTTTTACTCCACGGTATCTGCTTTACGTTTCATTCATGCATTCATTACGTCATTCACTGCTGCTTTTCACGCACTGTTATTTTGCACAGCTGCAGTTACAGAAGACCCAGTATTTGCAACTAGGCCAGAATCGAGCTCAGTGCTATGGAGGGTCACTGCCCAATGTCAATCAGATTGGAAATAGCAACACTGACCTCCCTTTTCAGGTGAGACCTTAGAAACTTCATAAGTCTGAAAATTCTGTCGTGCACACTATGCTGTCACTTTATGAATGAAATATCCCTTCAGATGATCTAATCACAGTTTCATAAACATCCTAACTGGATAACGCTCATAGTGCATTCAAAGGGTCATTCCTCATAAGGTGCGGTCACGTTTACCATTGCTCTGTGAAATTTTGCCTGGCAAATTCCATTCATTTCAATAGGCGAAATAGTTCTCCGTGCAGATTTTGCTCATGTTCAAGTTGGTCATGCAGGCAAAAAATGGTCTATTTTCAATGTGACCACACTTTTTTATACAATACCTTTTCAACTTTGTAACTTAAAAGAATTGATTGAAATTGAAAATTGAATTGAAAAGACATTTTAACTCTAAATTATAACGAGTTATTATAACTATAAACACAATTGGCAAGAAAATTACCCATATTGAGCCTAACAGAGTGGACATAAAAGCAAGAGTTGGCTTATGAGAGTGTGCTTTATGTTTTTATTCTTTATATTGTCATCCGAGTTCTGTAATTGGAAACAAACTGCTTTTAGAGTGGGGCTAAGAGTTTTAGTCTGCGCTGTTGTTTCGCCACCAAAATGTTGTCACTTCGTGCAAGATGATGCCATTAAGACTTTTGTTAATTAAAGGGATGTTACAGAAGTCTAACTGGATGGAAAATTATGTTAAGGACAGAAAACTATTGTATTGGCGATATTATCAAAGCCAAAGGCATGTTTTGTTTGAAACCGAAAAACTATGAACATACAAATGTAATGTTTCTTAAGAAATTACCAGTTTATCATTTTAAAAGTTAGTTCATAGGGACACTCATATTAGTCCAATATTAGGACCCAAAATGTAATTGACACTTCTGCACTTAAAAATGTCTCGGTGCCATTGCATTAGGTACAAAATATCAAAGAAGTCATTCTGGAGCTTTTCTTAGTACTAAAAACATTTTTGTGAAATGTCAATAAGAAATTGATGCTTGCTTTGATATTCTGTTATTCAATCCAAAAACATCCAGACATCTTTAAGTGTGGATTAAAGGTCCAAATTCTTTTTACGCTGTGTAGTAGGAATGGCCCGGATCAGCTTTTAAAGCAAAGTATTAAACAAAGATTCGCATTTTTGTCTGGAAAACCTTTTTTATGAATTAGTTAAATGTAACAAAGTTGATGGAAACATGCGTCATTTCCTTCTTTATCATTGTTTTTCATTTATGACACATTAGCATAAGGATGTACGGGATGGTTCTCTGAGCTAGGGCTGGGCGATATAGCTAAAAAATGTATCAACGATATAATGTTTCATATCGTTCGGTATCGATAATTATTGACATTTTTTATAACCTTTTTTAAAACAAAGAGCAATAGAAAAAAACGTTTAAATTTAACCACTGTATTTTTTAATTAACCCAATTTATTGAGACAAACAACAAATATTTTTTGTTTTAACAGTCAGACACAAAATAAAAATTAAACAAATATCTCATTTCTAATGTTTTATATGCAGATTAAATAGGTCTGAAGGAAACTTTTGGCTTGTCTCCCGAAGCCACAGGAGGGCGCAATGAGCAAAATAATGCAGCACATTAAATTGTCAACGCAAAGGAAGTAACTGTCTATAAAAAAAAAAACGTGCATTACGTCTAAATTAACTCATATAAATCAAACATAATTTCGTAAATTGCATAAACAATTATGAGCAAAACAGCATTATGTATTTATGCACTGCTTAATACAAAGAGACGAATCGCCATTCACACAGATTGCCTTTAAAAACATATGAGATGCAGTGAAACGGAATAAACCTCCACAAATTCGTGACGTGTTTTCTAAAAGTTTAAACTGTCTGTTTTAACTATGAATGGCTTTCTATACATCTCTTGTGTGAGACGCGAGTGCAGCAGTCATATTTGTCCGTCTAAAAATGCGCTGAATATGCATCTGTGTGAATGGCTTGGTTTCGGTTTTAGCCTAATCAAGATCTTCTAAGCATTGAGCTACTATATTTCTCTAATATTTTGAATGAATAACGCAGCAGCGGCGCGTCTTGTGACTTATAAAACATTAAAATGCAACAACGTCACTTACATCATCATCACCGCATCTCGTGCTCCACTGATGACGCTCCCAGACGCACACCTAACATTTGATTGTACTATTTTTGCATTCAAATGCAAATGTTTATTTTAAATTCGACTAATATTCTTTTTTTATATTCACAATCTCCTCAGCAGAGGCAGGCACTGCACTCAATTCAGCATGTGTTCGTGTTTGTGTGTGCGCTCTGCGTCACTCATAGCACGGGCCTATATCGTGCGCTATATCGAACGTTTTTTCTATCGTTATCGAAGAAGGTGTACCGTCGATAAATATCGATACCGTTTTATGGCCCAGGCCTAATTACAACTCACAAATGCAACCAAAATAACAACAACAAAACCTTTAGTCACACATGATATCACCAGTCGTCTGATGACAGCTCATCACTGGCTTGTTCAGTGCGACAAGCAATGACAATTGTCAAGAAAGTCTGTCAGTTTTCTGTACTAAAATGTGCACATCTAGTATCCACATTAGGACACAAAGAGCAAAATGAAGTATGTCATTTAAAAAAAAAAAATGTATTGTTGAAAAAAATGCATTTTTACAGACAAATAATTTTAGATCATATTTAAAATATATATTATTGAATTATATATTATTATTTATTAATGTATTTATTATACACATTGCATCTATACATAATATTGATATTGATTGACATTTATTGATCCTTATCGATGTATCATTACACCCCTATAAAGAAGGTTATAAAAAAACGTTTAAATTTAACCACTGTATTTTTTAATTAACCCAATTTATTGAGACAAACAACAAATATTTTTTGTTTTAACAGTCAGACACAAAATAAAAATTAAACAAATATCTCATTTCTAATGTTTTATATGCAGATTAAATAGGTCTGAAGGAAACTTTTGGCTTGTCTCCCGAAGCCACAGGAGGGCGCAATGAGCAAAATAATGCAGCACATTAAATTGTCAACGCAAAGGAAGTAACTGTCTATAAAAAGAAAAACGTGCATTACGTCTAAATTAACTCATATAAATCAAATATAATTTCGTAAATTGCATAAACAATTATGAGCAAAACAGCATTATGTATTTATGCACTGCTTAATACAAAGAGACGAATCGCCATTCACACAGATTGCCTTTAAAAACATATGAGATGCAGTGAAACGGAATAAACCTCCACAAATTCGTGACGTGTTTTCTAAAAGTTTAAACTGTTTTAACTTTGAATGGCTTTCTATACATCTCTTGTGTGAGACGCGAGTGCAGCAGTCATATTTGTCCGTCTAAAAATGCGCTGAATATGCATCTGTGTGAATGGCTTGGTTTCGGTTTTAGCCTAATCAAGATCTTCTAAGCATTGAGCTACTATATTTCTCTAATATTTTGAATGAATAACGCAGCAGCGGCGCGTCTTGTGACTTATAAAACATTAAAATGCAACAACGTCACTTACATCATCATCACCGCATCTCGTGCTCCACTGATGACGCTCCCAGACGCACACCTAACATTTGATTGTACTATTTTTGCATTCAAATGCAAATGTTTATTTTAAATTCGACTAACATTCTTTTTTTTTTATTCACAATGTCCTCATCACAGGCAAGCACAGCACTCAATTCAGCATGTGTTCGTGTTTGTGTGTGCGGTCTGCATCACTCATAGCACGTGCCTATATCGTGCACTATATCGGAAACATTTTCTAGCGTTATCGAAGAGGGTGTACCGTTGATAAATATCGATACCGTTTTATCGCCCAGGCCTACTCTGAGCTTTCATACTGCTAGTCCATCTTCTGCGTGGAGCCGGTTTTGAGCTTTTATTTGCCCAACACTGCAGCAAAAGTCCTGATGCCTTGTGAAAACACATTTGAAGATCACTTAAATCCGATTCTTTTACAGACGACGGTTTTAGACACCAGTCGGACGTCCCGACATCACGGCCTGGTGGACCGCGTGTATCGTGACAGGAATCGCATCGCTTCTCCGCATCGTAGACCTCTCTCTGTGGACAAGCATGGACGTCAGATATCCTTCAGCTTTATTAAACACTGCCAAGTTTTTCTCAACTGATATGTATTTCTATGTGCGTGTATGAGACATTGTCCTTAACCCTAATTACATCGACAGCTGTCCCTATGGCTCAGTATATCTGTCACCACCTCCCGACACAAGTTGGAGAAGGTAAAGCAGCTTTTCTCATAACCTAATCAACAAAACGTGCTCAAAGGTTATAAATCAGTGTTTTTATGTGTTCCCACCTCTGCTGGTCTGCTGCAGAACCAACTCTGACTCAGCTCTACACCAGAGCGCTGTGAATCCAGCTCCACAGGACACTTTTGTTGGTGGATCTCAGGAACTGCAGTCGAAAGGAGTAAAAACATGTAAGAATTTGGGATGTTTTTTTTTCCATTTTTGTTAGCTTTTGCAATGCTGCATGAAATTAAAATTCATTTTCATTTCAAATACATCTTCAGGCCTTTAAGGTGTAGATGAGTCTGTTTCTTCATTAAAACAGTAGCATTGAGAAATGTAGCATTACACCACTGGCTCACCAATGGATCCTTTGCAGTGAATGGGTGCCATCAGAATGAGAGTCCAAACAGCTGATAAAACCATCACAATAATCCACAAGTAACCCTCACCACTCCAGTTCATCAATTAAAGTCTTGTGAAGCAAAAAGCTGCGTGTTTGTAAGAAACAAATCTATCAATACGTTTTTAACCAAATCATTTCCGACTAAAATACAAATCCCCTATCCACAATATTGCTTTCTCCAGTGAAAAAGTAGTCTCACCTGAATCAGGAGAGATATATGCACAGATCATGCACTTTTTACAAATAAAAACCGTTCTAAACAAATATGTTGGTGGATTTTGATGTTAGAGAACAACGGGACGGATCTTTTTCACTGGAGGAAGTGTTATTATGGATTTTGGCCAGAAGCGATGGCTTAAAAGTTGAATGACGCCTTAATGATGAAGCTGTTTCTTACAAACACGCAGCTTTTTGCTTCACAAGACATTCATTGATGAACTGGAGTGGTGAGAATTACTTGTAATGTTTTAATCAGCTGTTTGGACTCTCATTCCGACGGCACCCATTCACTGCAGAGGATCTACTGGTGAACAAGTGATGTAATGCTACATTTTCCAAAACTGTCACCATGAAGAAACAAACTGGCCTGAGGATGAGAACGTTTTCATTTTGGGGGTGAATGGTTCCTTTAACAAAAGTATTTCTCTGCTTATTAATATTTTAAAAACTTTTGTCTGCCAAAAGTCATGATGTGGTTCAACTAACATGCAGAAACATGCAAAAAAAAAAAAAAAAAAAAGGACCCCTGTAGATCCTCATCACTGACTGTCAAGGTCAATAAGTCTCTTAAAATATCAGATAATTTGACATTTTTATGTTGTAAAATGTCATATTGGTGACCCCTCAAATCATAAGGATATGTACTCTATGAATTAATATTGAAATTATGGTGTAAGGAAAATAAGTTATTATTTTTTACTTAGTGGTTACATCATATGACAAAACCAACATGGATATAAAGAGAACATGGCATGTGTTTTAATTAGATTTTTAAAATATTATTTTTATTGTGGACGCTTTCCACTGTCATTGACCTACATGTATTTGTGATATGTTTTTTCTCATGTACAATGTCCTGGTAGGAGTTCATCCATATCTCCCTCTCTTTCTGCAGTGCTGTTGCTCACCCCTCCAGATACAGAGGACACTGAATCAGAGATGGAGCAAGACGAGCCCAAAGCATCTCTGCATACAGAGTCCTGTGACGTTCCTGGGATTAAGTGAGTTTATCATGACTAAAACTTTTTTCCCCATCTGCTGGAAATCATGGAACACTTCAAGGTCCCATGTTTTACACCTTTCTGGAGTTTTATTTTAGGTTTTGATGTCCTTAAGAATATATATTTGCGCTATAAGTACCAAGAACCATCTCAATATATTTTTACAGCTCTTTTCTCAGGAGCTCTGCTGAGAACAGGTCGATTTTGGCCTGTCTAATTAATATTCATGAGCCTCTCTTCTGATTGGCCTGTTGTGTTCTGAGTGACGCACGGCCAGGAGAACCACAGGTAACTAGGGTCAGCCGACGTCACAGCGCTAGCTGGAGGCAGTAAAACAAAGGTATTGGAGAGTGCAAGTGCAAGGCTGCAGCCAGACCCTTCTACTGTACATGTTAGATGTGATGCACCTCATAGTAACAATACTAGATCGTCCATCCGTTTTAAGTGAGAGTGTAACGTTACAGGTCAGCCGATCTGGTTTTGTGGTTAAAGTTAATCTTTTCGACATGTTTCCGTGTTGTTATCGTTGCTCAGCAATGGCAAGGACGCGATGTTGTCTGGGGGTTTGGCAAAAGGAGAGTGGGACGGTGGGCGGTGCTCGGGGTGTTGACCGAAGGCGGTGACTGTGTAGTTCTGACGTCAACTTTTTACGGAAGTCACAACGGTTCATGAAAAATCGCAGCTACTTTAAGCAGGATGTGTGAATTTTACTGTGGACTGACTGTTTTGAAACTTATATGGTAGTCACATAGCACCTAGACCTCAGTTATCATGAAAAAAGCCAGGAAATGTCAGTTTTGAAAATATGGGACCTTTAAATAACCTTTGAATTAGCATGAGTAGACACAATGAAGTGTGGCTGCAACTTTAGATCCTAAATTGACACTCACCATGTGCCAAATTGAGGTAAAAATGGTCTGAAGGAAAATTAAATGGTAAAATATAGTTTGGGTAAATAATTGGCCAAAGGAACTGCAACATTACATGGCTTTATTTGAACCGTATGAATGAAATTCTTGACTTGCTGATATAAGTGTTATGACAGATTCAGACATACTGTACAAATCTCCTCCTATAGAACACATCTATCACAACTTTTTTTATTTTGGATTATTCCTCACATTAAGCATCCATAATGAAAAAATAACCTGCTTAAACAGCACGGCTTGTGTTTGAATTCAGAATATGTGTGATTAAAGGACCATCATTTCATTTCTAGCAATCTATGAGGTCCCAAGAAAGTCTGATTCTAATATTTAAATGAGGGATGCACCAGTGTATTGACCAATAATCAGTATGGCTTATAAAAGCAATTATCTGCACTATCAGCCATTGTTTAAAAACTGAAGACGATCAGAGCAGATTCTATTCTGTCCAGAACGCTGTAGGACCTCAGTTCAAGCAGCAGCGCGGAGCACAAGTCTTTTCCACTTATAAGGTATAGTGCAAAATAAATATGAATGAACATCAGTTCACAGTTGGTTAGTAAGCAATAAAAAAACACTAAAGAGGAGCCTAATTACTGATAATTATATATGTATGTTTGAATAAATCTGTCATGAAGACAAGTAAAGAAAACCTGTACTAATACCTAATTGCATTGTACAAACATTTCAGTTTTCATTTGAGTGTGATTATTATATCTGAAAATAAATACCAGTAGTAGTTTGGTCTCTGTTGTTAATTTTAACCTCTAATATTATAGCAGTGTACCAAATGAGAGGCTTCCCTGTGTAGTTTACAGCATTAGTTGGAAGAGATTGCTTTCCTTTAGAAAACCAAACTATTGGTACCTGCAGATTTCAATTCTGAATAATTGGCAGAGAAATATGGGTGCATCCATTCCCCCCCCCCCGAAAAAATGACAAATCAAGCAGTTGAGATTACAAAATCTAAAATTATAATTTGAATGCAGTTTTTTTTAATTGCCAATTGTGAAGTGCTTTATAATTGCATTTTCATTAATTTGATTGATTTTTCTATTATTATTTTCCATTAATAATTAGAATTTTTTTCTGAACATTTTCTGTTTTCATTTGAAAGTTTTTGTAAGTTGTGTGTTTTTGTCATTTTTAGTTTGTTTTTTTATGTGTCTAAGTAGTTTTTATTCATTTTTATTTCAATTTTAGTTTTAGTTATTTTAGTGTTTAACTAAATGAAATTGAGAAATGTTTCCTTGGCAACAAAGGTCTTTTTAATTTCTTATTTCAGTTAATGTTCAGTTAATTTTATTTAAAATAACGAAGATGTTTTATTTTTCGTTTCGGTTTTAGTGAACTATAATAACCCTGGATCATTGACAAAGAATTAGTGTAAATATATGAGTATGAATATTCTGATGTGTTGACGGTCTGTTGTTGTCATAGCCGATGACGATGGACAGCCTGTCTCTGGAGCAGCAGTTGTCTCAGTACTCACTGCTGAGTTTACTGAACGACCTGCAGAAACAGCCACACAGCCTCCCTCAGAACATTCGTCTCATACGCCTCCCGCCTCTCACCGTAAGCTCCACCCCCAACACCACCAGCCAATCACAGACAGCCACAAGCGGAACTGCCAGCTCGGTATATTTTTATTCTGCTGTACACAGTTTGCTTTAGGTTGATAGGGTTAATTCAGATATGTATCTCTTTCTCCCAACAGTACCGCAGTCAGACCGGCTCTTCAGCCAATCAGTCACCCTCGTCTCCAGTGTCCAATCAGGGCTTCTCACCCGGCGGCTCACCACAAGTAAGCATAACACTTCTATGGTTTCATTCTTACACTCACTTTGTAGTCTTTCATACACTACCGGACAAATGTTTGGAAAGAAAGATTTTCCCTTATGCTCACCAAGACTGATTTTAATTGATTAAAAAAAGAACTGATATCTGCTTAAAAATATATGTACAATTTTTGTGATGCAAAGCATCATTACTCCAATCTTCAGTGTCACATGATCTTCAGAAATTATTCTAATTTGCTGCTCAAGAAACATATCTTATTATTTTCTTTGTTGAAATATATTTCTAACATTTTTGTGGAAATCATGATAAAGGATTGTTTGATGAATACAATGTTAATTTGAAATAGACATCATTTTAACAATATAAATGATTTATTTTGATCAATTCAATGTGTCCTTGCTGAATAAAAGTATTCATTTTTCAAAAATCTTTAGAAAAAATCTAAAAATCTTAGACTAAACTTTTGAATAGCACATCAGGGTTTCTACAAAATATTAAGCAGTGCAGCTGTTTTCAACATTGATAATAATGGGAAATGAGCAGCAAATCAGCATATTAGTATGATTTCTGAAGAATCATGTGACACTGAAGACTGGAGTAATGATACTGAAAATTCAGCTGCGCATCACAGGAATACATTATATTTTAAAATACATTCAAATAGAAAATTGTCAAATTAAATTGTAATAATATTTCACAATATTGCTGTTTTTACTGTATTTTGGATTAAATCAATTCAGCCTTGGTGAGCACAAGAGACTTATTTTAAAAACATTGAAAAATTATAACTATTCCAAACTTTTGATCAGTAGTAGTATTCAGTATGTGGCTAATTTTCTTCAGATGTATTGCTCATAATGTGTGTCTTTACAGCATATTCAGGTGGTTGGAAGCATCTTTGGAGATTCATTTTATGATCAGCAACTTCCATCCAGACAGACCAATGCCCTTTCAAACCAGGTACATGTGCTTTATGTACATGTGCATATTATGTATATACAGTTTAGTAGTATTACAGTAATATTTCTTTATTGATTTTATTTTTATAATTTGATTAAATTATATTAATAATAATAAATGCATAAAAGAAATCACTAAAATTGCTATTAGATGTGTTTTACCAAGTTGTTCTGCTGTATTTTTAAGAAGTAATGCACTTAGTTTCATGGCCTGTATGAATGAATGAATAAATAAATATGTATGTATGAATGTACGTATGTATGTATAACATGTTACAATTGTATAATATATGTTAAAATTTTTTTATTTAATTTATTGTTCAAATGACTTTAAAACTCTCTCATGCTGATGGAGAAGCTGGAGCAGTTCAACATGAACATGATGGAGAATCCGGGCGGCTCTAGTCACTGTTCAACGCTGAACTACACACAAGCAGCCATGATGGGTCTAACCGGGAGCCACGGCGGTCAGCAGGACGCGCTGCAGCTCGGTTACAGTAGCCATGGCAACATCCCCAACATCATTCTCACAGGTATTGTGTGTCTTTCGCTTCAACATCAACTTCTCTATACAAATGTCTTTCCAAGAGATGTCAGAGAGGTGCATTTATAATTGCACTGAGGGTCTTTAATATCTATACCTGTGCCTCACAACCTTTTTGGGGTCTATCCATTATCCAGGTCCTTTAGCGCCCCCACACAATAAGCATACTTGTTAATTATTCCAACAGGATTTCACTTAAATTTCTAGTTTGTGTAGCCTGCATCCTCATATGAGGACATTATATTTTAGTGAATTTCTCTGAGACTATACATGCCACAGTTTTAAGTCTAGATGTCCTGTACAGAGCACATTCAGGGCTTTTCAGAGATACTAAATGCTTGGATATTTCACTATGACCAATCCCTCTCCTTGGTCTTCAAAAATGTCTGATTTTAGTTTAGTGACACACTTATGGAAATATGATTTTTTTTGTAATTATCATTTAAATCAAATTTTTAAACTGTGTGTCATAAATCAACATCTCGGGAAAATGTTATGGGGTTTCAAATCAAAATATGACTTTCTGTTACGAAACAGGACGTTGATTTCATACATGTCCTCATATGAGGACACCGGGACTAAAAGCATGTTTATTACGCATTTTGGGAGACACAACCAATGAATAGGGAAAGAAAATATATTAAAATATTTCTATGAAATATTATATATTATTATGAAAATCTTGTCAATTATTACTCCCATTATTACACTTCTTTTTTCATTACATGTTTCCCCAAAAACACAAACAAAAACACTCTGCTTCGTGTCGTGCCTAACAACGCCCTTCAGCCGTGATTTATTCACGTTACAGCACGGCCTTGAGTACCTAATTGCTTACATATAATAATGGTATTTTTATGTAGCCAGCTTTATTAATGTTTATCAGTAACTAGTTATATTCTAATTGCACTTAGATAACATGACCAACACTTCACTTGCTAGTAGCTAGCTATCATAACTAGATATCACTTTGCTTAAAGGGTTAGTTCACCCAAAAATGAAAATTCTGTCATTAATTACTCACCCTCATGTTGTTCCAAACCCGTAAGACCTTCATAGATATATTTGATGAAATCCGAGAGCTCTCAGACCCTCCATAGACAGCAACACAACTACCACGATCAATGCACAAAAACGTTGCAAGGACATCTGTAAAATAGTCCATGTGACGTCAGCGGTTCAACTGTAAGTTTACAAAGCTACGAGAATACTTTGTGCGCAAAGAAAACAAAAAGAGCAACTTTATTCAACAACTCTTCTCCTCCTCATTTCATCTGCAGCGGTGCGCTGCCATTGTGGAGAGAGTATCACAACGCATTACATTACATTACTTTTTTACAGTTACATTACTTTAATCAAGTAATCGAAATAGTTACAATACTTATTACATTTTAAATAAGGTAACTTGTAATCTGTAACCTATTACATTTGCAAAGTAGCCTTCCCAACACTGGTTCCCAGGAGTAAGCATTTCAGCTGACAGTTTGATTTGTCTCACATTAGTAACGGGAGAATCTCCGCCGAGTCTCTCCAAAGAACTCACCAGCTCGTTGGCCAGCGTTGGTGACGTCAGCTTTGACGCGGACTCTCAGTTCCCGTTGGACGAGTTGAAGATTGACCCCTTGACACTGGACGGACTGCACATGCTCAACGACCCGGATATGGTTCTCGCCGACCCGGCCACGGAGGACACGTTCCGCATGGATCGACTGTGAAGCTGTGAATGCACTTCGAAGCCAGACATTCCTCTGCATGGCGTCTCTGTTCACCATCTGGTCAGTGGCCGTCCACGTCCCCCCAACCACCTACGTAACAGCATGCTGCCAAACCGCTCGTGGCCAGGGGCCGGTGGAGGCGGCGGCCAGGGTTTGGGGGGGGTGGTGGAGGTGGAAGTGCTGTATCCACACTGGATAGTTTCCAATGCGCAATACCATCCACCATCCACTCTCTTCACGTATTCATGGTTTGGCTAGTCGCCAATGCGCGGTTTCTATTTATTCCTTTTTAGTTGTTTATCCTTTTGATTTCATGGATCATCCTATGTTTATTCGTATTTACATTTCCAAATTTCATCTATTTTTTAATGTTTGCATAACTATGCCATGTCTTTGAAGAAATATCCATCTGTGTGATGATGTGTGTGAAATCGACATATTTGTTTCGATTGTATTTATTATAATTATTTTTTTAATTACAGATCTAAATATATATTATTTAATCATATTTATGTAAGGAGCACTACTCCCCCAGGTTGTGTATCAAGGGTTTAAGGGAGCGTTGCTCATTGTACGCCGGAAGGCATAAAGTTTGCTTTTACAAAATGGCTTCCATGACGATTCGTTTTGCTAGCATTTTTTGTATCATCCAAACATCTCAAGATGTCACGATCGGTTTCATTCTTTCGGTATCAAGTTTCTTGCAGGAGGACAGCAGTCTCTAAATAGAAATGTGACCCATCTTTTGGTGTTTTTGTGGACTGTCGCGTGACTTTCTGTACGCATACGTTATTTATTTGAATGTTATGGCTGAAATGTACGCTTCAACGGTGGTCAGTAAATATGTGACCCTCGAGCTGCTGCAGAAACCTGCTGAACACTTCACTGTGAGAGGACCTGATTTTGCCTTACATGAACAAAATGCTGTTTTTAACTTTTAATGTGTTTTTCTAATCGTCCCTCTCGATATTTTTGTTTTAACAATGCCATTTTGTTTAGTATCGAATGCTGTGTAGTTTGTACTTGTACTGCCAAACTTAACTCAAGGTTCTGTTGTGAAGCTGATGTCAGTCATCTGGCTTGGGGAGAGTAATGCTCCTTATTCTGTGCTGTTTATGGGAGTTTGTGTTTGTCATTCCCATGCGTATGTTCAAGCCCTGTCGCACCTTGATCAAGTGATGTGTTTTTCCCCTCGAGTGCTATAGGAAGGAACTAAGGAATCACTCATTTACAATTCAGTGACGCAGTTATGATCTCTATACTGTATACAGTGGGGTCCAAAAAACACAGCTTTTTGGTTCAAACCTGGAGTGAAAAGCGTTCAAATCAATGAAGCAAAGGGAATGATAAGAAAGATATATTAGGATTCAAATGTGAATTTTGATATTTATTTCTTTATTTTATTTTTCGTTAAACTGGTGCATTGATAATTGTAGAGGCTTGTTTCTGCCATGGAATAAAAAGAAAAAAAAAAGTTAATTTTGACTTAATCTCACAATTTTTCATGCAATTATGAGTTCATCCAGGTGGATGCTGCACACTGGTGGTGGATGAGGAGATATCCCCTGACAATGTAAAGCGCTTTGAGTGCCTAGAAAAGCACTATATAAATGTAATGAATGAATTAATTAATTTATATCTCATGATTCTGACTTTTTAGTTAGCAAAAAAAAAAAAAAAAGTTGCAAGATGTTATCTTACAATTGCAATATGTAAACATGATCCTGCGAGAAAAAAGTCAAAATAGTGAGATAAAAAAATCACAATTACCTTTTTTATTTTTTATCCCATGGCGAAAACAAGCCTCCACAGAATATACACAGAGTTCTGGCATGAAACTCTAGATGGCGCAGTCCGATAGGTCTAACTCAATCTGACCTAATGACATCATTATCACATGGCACAGCTGATTGGTTCTCTCCTGTATCGGCAGCCAATGAGCTCGCTGCACAACATTCAAATATATGACTAGTGCTTGCCGTAGCAGTGCAGTTGCTTCAGAAATCCTCCACCTTCCCCAGCTCCACCTGTATAGATCTGCTACAAGGTGATTCATGTATGCTATATGGGGGTTATTTCATGTATGTTATATTTGCAGCAGCAATATTTCTTACATGCTCACAGCAACATGTTGTGGATGTATTGGCAGTATCAAGTCTCGGTACTTGCTCTGCAGCAGCAGCAGCATAGCAGATCTATTCCGCCAAGACCAAATACATTAACATTGTCATGTACATTCTCATGCCAATCCCATATATATATAATTTTTTTTTTTTTTGGACCCCACTGTATCTAACTTGTCAGTCTAAAAACAACATGTTTATAATACAGGGGATGAAGAGCAAGGTGAAGTTTTTGGCAATTGAACAAGATGTTTCCTGCTAAAGTTTTAGTAATTTTGGTTCAGCCAGATACATTTTGGTCATCTCGGTCCTTGAAGGAAATAATAACTCTTAAAACTGTGCAAATACAATTTGTGATTCCTATGCAATCTAAAAGCATTAATCAACCAACAATCTGGAATATTTCTGGTTGAATATGAATAGTATATTTAGGGCTGAGAAATAGGGATTGGCTCAGATGGTGGATACACTGTAGTTTATTTAGAAGTTACAAAAACTGCAATACTCGCTTTAGTTTTTCTTCTTCAAACTGTGCCATTCAGAATGGTGTTTTCATATGTTTTACCATGAGCGCGTTTCTCTCCTGAAAATAGTGTACATAAAGCTTATCACTGGAATATGACGACTGCATGTCAAAATGAGAAAAACCTTTAGAACAAGCTCTTCGTTAGCTTTTTGGTATGAAGTCTTCATTAACTTGGCTGATTCCAGTAAAAAGATTCACTGCACATAAACCAATGTAGACCCCCGAGACACAGTGCATGTATTAGTTAATGCTAGTGGTGTCATTTTACCACGTCTATGATCATGTTTAGAAACAGAATGTATTTATGGGGCTCCGTGTTCTGATAGTGCATTACACCAAATGACCTGCTTGACAATGCTTGACCAAAGCACTATTGTTTTTTTCTCCTGATCTGTTACGTTTCTGTTCGTTTTCGGTCACGGTAGCATTTTGCCGCTCATCTCGACTGTAGCATGTTTGATATCTTCAGTTGGGTCATTCCCCCGCCCTGTCGATTTGCTCGGCCCTTGCATCTTGGGTTTCCATCTGAAATCCTGTCAGAAATCTCAAAGATACGGCAGCTTTCATACTGATGTTTGTGCATTTCTTCTAAATCTTCTGGCTGCTGCTTCTGGAAACTTCAGCCGCAGCTTTGCTCATGAAACTTGGACTGTTTCACCTTCTGAGAATGCCGACTGTTCGACCCTGTACATGCGTTCCCCCCACCCCGGTTTATCGTGAAGGTGTTCTTTGTGAACCGTTTTCTGTATTGCACTGATAATTCAGAGGGAAAACAATTCTGGAAGCGTATATATGTATATGTGACTTCCCAATGCAAACCGAAAAAAGGGCTCAGTCTGTTTGTTGCTTTAACCTGTGAAACATTAGGAGATGTGGGCAGACTGCATGTGTTTATTGGACAAATAATCTGTTGTTGATGCACATGCGGCATGCAGCCAAACTGGAGCGGTTTTAGCACTTATGTTCATTTGTGTCCTGATTATTCGTGTGAGAGCAAACCCCCTTTAGCGTAAATTCCCCTTTAAGCCTTAATAGAACTGCTGAGCAGTTAGTGACCATGATTACCATGTCCGTACCATTAAGTACGTAGCTGACTAGATGGGATGTATTTCTTGATAAACGTACCGATAGTGACCCATAGGATAGAGGAACCCTTCCCCTTAAATCATAGCATTAGCATAAACTAAGTGCTATCTACATGGACTTCTTTCTGTAAAGATGATATACTTTTTATTTCGCCAACTGTCATCTCACTTAAGGCAGGTTTAATACGTATTAAAAGACACTGTAAACGAAGCACTCGTGAGAGTGTTAGGTTACAGAATGTGCATCGAATCTTTGTGATCTCTCATTTCGTGAGCATTAACAGTGCTCGCTCTTTATTGGAGTTAACGGTATATTAGGACATATAATTTGTGGTTGTCTAGAGCTTTTATTCTGTCCCAGTTCTATAGTCGCTGTGCTGGTGTGGTCATCTTTGTCTCCTATTTGTGGTAACTGATTGTAGAAGGAACTGATTTCGTCTTTGTTGTTTTGCTGGTCCTTTTCCTTTCTCAGAAAAAAAAAACTAAATATGGATGTGCATGATGTCTCAGCTGCATATATCAGAGCCTTCTTGTTATATCATTTATATTTTGTAACCTGTATTTCTGTACGTGTTTTTAAAATACATATATATATATTTAAATTCTCAGTGCTAATGCAGTGCCATTAATTTATGTCTGTCATTAGGGGGTTACTTAAAGCTCTACTGTTCACAAAGTATAAAAAAATGGAGTATATAATATGACACACATGACAGAAATATACAACTCACATTCATTAATCTTGTAAAAAAGAACTGTTGAGATTGGGTTCAAAAAAGCTGGATTTGCTGGCTTCTGAATGTCTCAAAGTCCTCGGGGATTGTATCTGCACAAAAAAAGAACAAATACAAGACAGCTGATTTATTAATTCTCTCCTCAGATGTGACTGTGAATTTTGTATGCTCGTAATATATTTCATTTAGATAAAAGACAAAAATGAGCAGCTCCAGATGAGGTTTATTCTGCGCTGACTTCAAGAGAAAATTCTTTATCATCTATATGAAGTTCAAAGAAAATCTATTGGGAAGTGGATCGTGAAAAGCGAGGCCACCGGAAGAAGATGGATTGTGAAATTATTACTTTCTGTCATAAATTTGGAATAACATGCTCCAGTGAATCATGCTAAAAGACCTGGAATGTGTATCAATAAAGCAGAATATAAATAGAATTTCCATTTCATGATAACTTGTTTTCAACAGATCTGGGAGTACTATACTCCTATTGGCAGCTTGAAGTACACTATATGAACAAAACTACTGGGACACATGACCATTACGCCAACAAGGAGTTTTGCATTCTAAATACATAAGCTGCATCCCAATTCACCTTCTTATACTATGCTCTAAATGTATGTACTCTTTTTGTGAAGAAAAAGTACATACTTTTGAGTATGTAGCAGATTAGTATAGCTTTGGGACATATTTCTTCATCGTAACTTTAACACGTGTTTGCATAATGATGCATTTAAAAGTTAATGAACAAACATATCATTAGAAAAGTTCACAATGTTGCTGCAGATTAAATATAACATGGATAACAAAATAAATACTTTTTCATCAGGTTAGACATTGATTACACTCAAACCCCTTTCTCTACCTGTCTATCCTATCTAGTTTTTTAACACTTTTATGTGTGTTGCAATGTGTTGCAGGCAATATTAGCCATTAGAGTATGCATCGATATGCACTTCGAATTCTAACTGGAAGTATAGTAGAACATCTGTGAATCTTTGGCATACTCATTTCAACACACTACGATTTGGGGCACACTGATTCTATTTTCGAATAACTTTAACACGTGTTTGCATAATGATGCATTTAAAAGTTAATGAACAAACATATCATTAGAAAAGTTCACAATGTTGCTGCAGATTAAATATAACATGGATAACAAAATAAATACTTTTTCATCAGGTTAGACATTGATTATCACTCAAACCCCTTTCTCTACCTGTCTATCCTTCTCACATATCCACCATATTTGTAGTTTTTTAACACTTTTATGTGTGTTGCAATGTGTTGCAGGCAATATTAGCCATTAGAGTATGCATCGATATGCACTTCGAATTCTAACTGGAAGTATAGTAGAACATCTGTGAATCTTTGGCATACTCATTTCAACACACTACGATTTGGGGCACACTGATTCTATTTTCGAATGCTATTTAGGACAGATAGTATGCATGTTGGGACACAGCAATAGACTTCAATATGTGGCCCTGGACCACAAAACCAGTCATAAGGGTCAGTTGAGCAAATGTCTTAGTACGCTACAGAATCAAGATTTCCCTTCAATGGACGTAAGGAGCCTAGTCCAACCCCTAAAAAACAGCCACCAAACTATCCCTCTTCATCAAACTTAACAGTCAGCACAATGTAGTCAGGCAGGTGACATTCACCTGGCATCGGCCAAACCCAGACTCGCCCATCTGACTTCGTCACTCATCACAGAACAGGTTTCCACTGCTCCAGAGTCCAGTGGTGGTGTGTTTTACACCACTCTATCTGACGCTTGGTGATGTGATGCTTGCATGTAGCTGCTCTGCCATTGAAATCCGTTACATTAATCTCCCACCACACAGTTTTTGTGGCGAGTTTGTAACTCTTCAGCTATGGAAGCAGCATATGCACTCGTTGACCCTGCTCTGCAACTTTACATGGTCTTCTGCTTCATGGCTGAGCTTCTGCCTTTCCTAAATGCTTCTACTTTCCAATAATACCACTTACAGTTGACCGTGGAATATCTAGCAGAGGTGAAATTTCACAAACTGGCTTATCGCAATGGTGGCATACCAAGCTTGAATTTACTGAGCTCTTGAGAATGACCCATTTTTTCCACAAATGTTTGTAAATACAGACTGCATAGCTAGGTGATTCATTTTATACATCTGTGGAAATGGGTCTGATTGAAACACCTGAATTCAATAATTAAGCACTTCGTCACTCATCACAGAACAGGTTTCCACTGCTCCAGAGTCCAGTGGTGGTGTGTTTTACACCACTCTATCTGACGCTTGGTGATGTGATGCTTGCATGTAGCTGCTCTGCCATTGAAATCCGTTACATTAATCTCCCACCATACAGTTTTTGCGGCGAGTTTTGCTTCAGCTATGGAAGCAGCATATGCACTCGTTGACCCTGCTCTGCAACTTTACATGGTCTTCTGCTTCATGGCTGAGCTTCTGCCTTTCCTAAATGCTTCTGCTTTCCAATAATACCACTTACAGTTGACCGTGGAATATCTAGCAGGGGTTTAATTTCACAAACTGGCTTATCGCAATGGTGGCATACCAAGCTTGAATTTACTGAGCTCTTGAGAATGACCCATTTTTTCCACAAATGTTTGTAAATACAGACTGCATAGCTAGGTGATTCATTTTATACATCTGTGGAAATGGGTCTGATTGAAACACCTGAATTTAATAATTAAGCGGTATGTCTCCCAATACTTTTGTCCATATAGTGTATTTTCAAATGAGCCAAAATAAATGAACACACAAGTGGCCGAGGATGTGTAGAACTTTGAATATTGGGAGTTCATATTACATGAAAATTAGAAGGCCTGACGCTAAGCTCTTTGAGTGAGTGTACACTTGTTTCCATTTTTAATGTATGCAAAAGGTATTTCATTCAAATAACTGACCATTGCATCTGTAGCGCAGGTTGGCCCAGATGATGTTCTCCTGGGAGAAGCAAAATACTCCCAGTCTGCCTCCTCTCATGGTTGTGTCGATGATAATTCCTGTATCTGCTACCATCTGCTGACCTTCATAGAACTTTGAGAATGACCCATTTTTTCCACAAATGTTTGTAAATACAGACTGCATAGCTAGGTAATTGATTTTATACTTCTGTGGAAATGGGTCTGATTGAAACACCTGAATTCAATAATTAAGCAGTATGTCTCCCAATACTTTTGTCCATATAGTGTATTTTCAAATGAGCCAAAATAAATGAACACAGAAGTGGCCGAGGATGTGTAGAACTTTGAATGTTGGGAGTTCATATTACATGAAAATTAGAAGGCCTGACGCTAAGCTCTTTGAGGGAGTGTACATTTGTTTCCATTTTTAATGTATGCAAAAGGTATTTCATTAAAATAACTGACCATTGCATCTGTAGCGCAGGTTGGCCCAGATGATGTTCTCCTGGGAGAAGCAAAATACTCCCAGTCTGCCTCCTCTCATGGTTGTGTCGATGATAATTCCTGTATCTGCTACCATCTGCTGACCTTCATAGAACCACTTTTCTTACTGATATTTAGTGCCAGTTTATCAGGAAGTGACGATTTTGTTCTCTTGGATGGAAACGATGCTTTATTTGCAAATGTTTTATGTAATATTTCAATTTTGCGCACAAGTTAAATTTACAACTTTGGATGGAAACCCAACTATAGTCTTTTACCTACAGCCAGTCCAGGATCACTGTTCATGGTCTGAACAATCTCTCTTCCCTGTTGAAAAAGATGAGCATTCCTTGGTAAAGTTTATACTGTGAGAACTTTGGGTGCAAAATCTCCATGAGGCAGAAAGAAGCGGACAGACCTGATTGAGCACCACCCAGTTTGGATCGATCTGCGCATCTCCTTCTGGATCCAGAACCACAGTCTGATAGGTTCTGAAGTCAGTGAGAGTCACCTCACTGTTCTCAGGACAAACATCAATGATGTCACTAAATGTGTCATTGTCAAAGTCATTCTCACAAACGTTGCCAATCCCATCACCTGTAAACCAAAAGTCAAGAAAATGAAGCGGATGACTGATTTGACAACAAGATCAGAAAATGACTAAAGATCCGTTTCCAAGCAGAAAAGAACAAATTAGATCCGAATGAATTTCCTTGCTGGTTAGGAGTTGGTCAAGATTGATCAAGTCTTCTCGGTTAAACTAGTTAAGAAGCCTGGTTGGGACACCAGAATTCCATATTCCAAATCACTGCACAAGCTTGTATTTTGAACAGGACATTATTTTATTAAGAATAATGAGATTAAAGGGTTAGTTCACCCAAAAACTTCTGTCATTAATTACTCACCCTCGTGTTGTTCCAAGCCCGTAAGACCTTCGTTCATCTTCGGAACACAATTTAAGATATTTTTGATGAAATCTGAGGGCTCTCTGACCCTCCCATAGACCGCAAGGTAACTACCACGTTCAAGGTTCAGAAAAGTACCAAGATGATCCACAAAGTAGTCCGTGTGACATCAGTGGTTCAACTGTAAAGTTACGAAGCTACGAGAATACTTTTTTGTGCAAAGAAAACTAAAATATCGATTTTATTCCACATTTTCGTCTCTACTGTGTCACTAGTGGACGCGTGATGATACTGTCGTGAACGCACGTCCACTAGTGACGCAGTAGAGACGAAAATGTGGAATAAAGTCGTTCACGTAGCTTCGTAACTTTACAGTTGAATCACTGATGTCACACGGACTACTTTGTCAATCATCTTGGTACTTTTCTGGACCTTGAACGTGGTAGTTACCTTGCTGTCTATGGGAGGGACAGAGAGCCCTCAGATTTCATCAAAAATATCTTAAATTGTGTTCCGAAGATGAACGAAGGTCTTACGGGTTTGGAACAACACGAGGGTGAGTAATTAATGACAGAATTTTCATTTTTGGGTGAATTAACCCTTTAAGATCAACAGTTTGATGTAAAGTGAAGTTTCCAAACATTAAAGCCTGACCATCTAAGTCCTCCTGCAGTGGGTTTGGAACCAGACGGCAGTTGTCCGGACCGGGTGGAAGGAGATCGGGAATGCCATCGTTGTCATCATCATCATCACATTCATCTCCAATGCCATCCTTGTCCGTGTCCAGCTGGGAGCTGTTGATAACTGCAGGACAGTTGTCTCGAGAGTCCTGATGCCCATCTCCATCACTGATGATAGAAACCAAAGCATCAGATTGAACGTACTCATTATGGGGTGTGAGCAATGAAAATCACCAATTGGAGTGATGTAATACCTATCTTTGTTAGTGTCACAAGGATCGCCAATCAAGTCATTATCCACATCCATCTGTGGCAGAAAGAAGGAGAATTATGGCTTACGTAATGCCTCAATTTCTTAGTTTGAGTCCATCTCCATCACCTTCAGAGTTAGAGAGCATAGGGTGTTAATCAGACCTGATCAGGGTTGCGGACGTAGGGACAGCTGTCGCAAGCATCACCAACATTATCACCGTCTCTATCTTTCTGGTCATGGTTTGGCACCTTTTTGCAATTATCTTTATCGTTTTTGATTCCTGAAAAGCAAAACACAACATCTCAGTTTGACCAATGCAAATGTTCATATTACCCTAATGATGTTTCCTATCTGAAGACTTACCATCCCCATCAATGTCATCATCACATTCATCACCCTGGCCATCGCTATCGGTGTCCTTCTGGTCATTGTTTTTTACCTGACGGCAATTATCACAAGCATCTCCATAATCATCCTGATCAATGTTCTTCTGATTGACGTTGGGGACTAGCACACAGTTGTCCTATCAGAGAAGTAATCGGTAAGAATATCATGAGTAAGAATACTGGTAGACATGATTAACCGGTAGAAATTTGTCAACCGGTAGAGATTTTGGACTATCGTCTCTATCGCGGTTACACGCTCTCGTGAAGTTGCTGTGCTGTATGGTCACGTAAACATATCGTTTGCACGCATTTTAAGCATTGCGGTTTAAAAACAAGTGATTTTAAGCTGTTGGAATGCAATCAGCAGTAAAAAAGAACTAATTTTGCTATATGCGTGCACTGTCTGAGAGCGATGTCGGAGAGGTGACCGCACGTGAAGACAGTGCTCATAGAGCGCAACAGAGTATTGAACAGAGTTAATTTTGCCACTTTATAAGCCTTGAATGGTCAAAATGCCCGTCTTTGCAAGCATCCTTGTAAACACAATAATTTAGGTCTTAAGTGAAAGCAAACAGCTGAGAAAAAAAACATGTGTAACAGTATATTGGATCCGGGCAGCGCTTAAAGTGACAGCAGTCTAATATTCCTGCTGTCTATCATTCATGTTAATCAAACAGCAAAAGACAGAAACTCTCTCACTGCTCTTGACTAAATCACTTTTGTAACTTTAATAAGAAGAAATATTTATTTAATTTACTCAGTGAAGAATATGCAGTGTTTTTATTCATTCGATTACTTTACACAATGTATGAATAATTTCTTAGTTATTTGTTCTACTGTAGTTTTTTGTCCTATTGCTTGTAATTAGTTTCTTACTCTTATGTAATCGCTGACTGTTTACTTGTCTTCAGTGAGTTTTTTTTTTTTTAATTTAGGCTAGTATTAGTTTTTTGTGATATTGACACGGATGACAAGAATTATGAAATTTCTATGGTATCAAAAATGTTGATATCTTAAAGACCTTATTTGAAGCAAAAATAACTATATTGTGATATATATCGTAAAGTGAAATAAAATTACTCATATCCTGATATAAGATTTTGGTTATATCGCCCACCCCTAGTTCTTAATATCTTAGTGAGCTGCCTCCCTGGACAGCATTGATCATAATCCCACCATAAAGTCTATTCCAAAAGGTAGGAAGCAACCTTCTAAGATTTCCTTCTAAGACCTTTCTTTTTCCACCACACATATCGTATATAGAGAAGACAAGGAAAAGGAGTCGAGTCTCCTGTGCACTTCACATTCAGGATTTTGATTACTAATATATGGTGATATTATAACACTGCCTTTAATTAAGGTGGTGTTGTGACCTCTGACCTCTGTGTTTAATATCCCATCTCCATCTGCGTCGTCATCACATGCATCACCGATTTTATCCTTGTCTGCATCCTCTTGCCCAGAGTTTGGAACGGTGAGGCAGTTGTCCTAGAAAACCGTTTTATTGAGATCTCACCACTGAGAGAATGTTTTAGTACTTTTTCATTCGTAATACTTGTTTTTATGTTTTACCTTTGCACAGTTTCTTTCCAGACATTCCAGTTTTTCATCAGGGAAGCCATCAATATCAGTGTCCGTTCCACATAAGTATCCATTCCCAGCCCATCCAACTCCACACTAAAACAGATTATATCAGTTTGACCATGTAGATCATGTGGTTCATGTGTGAAATACTGTATGATCATTGACTTACTGCGCATTCAATCTGTCCATCACGGTGAACAATGCATTCTGCACTGGCATGGCAAGGATTGGGCTGACCATTACCACAGGCCCGCTCAGGTTTGCAGCCTTTCACCTGATCCCCAACAAAACCAGTCTTGCAGTGGCCACAGCGAAAAGAGCCCTGCCATGGACACACAATGACTCACATAAACAAGGAGAATGGAAAGAATGATGTTCCAACTGACTTATATGAATCCATTTCTCAAATGTTGTAGACCATTTTATGGTGTGTTGATCCAACATAATATCAAATCTGTAATCAGTATTTCATTCAGTCTTGGTTCTTTTTTTGTTATCTTACACAGTTATGCTCATAGTTTTAAGGATAAGGGCATATAATGCAAGCTGCCCATGTTAGCATCTGCCTAAGGCTGAAGATAGAGGCCAGATTTAAGGCCGATTTTAAGTTAAAATCAAGACTAAATTAACTGGTTTTATTATCTAAATTAACTGGTTTTATTCAAGCCAAACTATTCCTTAATATGACCTCATTCAGTTATAAAATTTATTTTAGGGTAAGGTACTGCTACTACTGGCAGAAGTCCCTTTTTACAGTGTATCAGAACTGAGCCATTTTTTGGTTTGCGAA